ATTAAACATCGGTTATCCTATGATTTAGCCATTAGCCACAGCCCAACATAACCATTAGTTATATGAATTTATAATACACATCGCATTACCGGTTGTATAAAAACCACTGCAATTTGTCCACAGACTTTAAATTTGTGCTTCCCTCTCAGTCCTCACTTCTCCCTGCTGCTTGATGTGACTTGCTTAGTTGGTTTCAGAGGCCAGTTTGCTGACAAAATATACCCAGCTGTCATGCTTATTTATGGACTTTTGCGACATTTATTTCCTGTGCATAACTGTGCTGTTTTCCCATGATATTATCTTTTATGGGTGCCACTGTATTAAACAGAAGATTAACGTTGAGCAATTCTGGAGAAGGATTTGCACACACTTTGGAAAAGTGGCAACAAACAGCAGAGGTGAGGGAGTTACAAGGGAACACAGACAGGTTTATCTGGGATCCCGTTCCCCGAGACGAACCGAGGCAGGCTCGGCACATGATGGAGGAGTTGGTAACCGCTTCATGTTTTTCATCATAGCATTCCTTTCCTCATGTCCTGTGAACAACACATGCCATACACCTGTGTTGAAGCATGACGCTACCCTCCTCCCTTTAGGCGAGGGTGCAGGGAAACAGTCATGGCGTGACTCACACATTTACTCAGCGCAGGTTCATAACATGACAGACTGTGATGATGCAGCAGTGAATCGACAGGATTCCTTCACCCAAACAACATCTGGTTCATGTAGGAAAGTGTAAAAGAGACACTGATAAGGTAGAAGGGGCGTCATTAACGCAGTGTGTATTAAATGTAAGAGAGAGAGAAACAATGGAGCAGACCAGGTGAAAGGTAGAGTGAGGCATAGCCCTGTGCTTTGAGAATCTATAATTAGTTTGTATTAAACTAGTAAGTGTGCACTTGTGGGGAATCTGCAATTCTGTGCTAACAATTTGGTATTTCCTTTGAAAACAGCATTTCCTTTGAGACTAGCAGGTAAGTAGTAGGTATAGACCTGTAATTGTATCCCTAAAGGAATGTAATTACCCCATTAGCACAGAGTCAGTAACCTTTTACACTCATCGGTTGCCTACATAAAATTTATGTTCTCTTTACATAAAATCTCACATGGAGCGAACACTGTTGCAGAGACCGTAAGGACGGAGAGAAGAGAGGGAACGAGAGCAAAGCAGGATGACTGGACAGTGAGGGGGGCATATTACCTCCCACAGGGGCCCTAGCTCTAAGGATCAAGTTTCAGACGTTTACCAACAAAGCATCCATGGAGGAAGTCTTGCACCCCTCACAATAACACCACAGCACCTGGCCATCCCCATGCAGGAAACCTGAGGTCACTTCCCCCCTCTTAGGGAATGCAGACGCACTCCTGCTGCCAGCCACGCGCCCCCACAACCTATTGAAGAGGGGGCTGACTACCAAGGGGAAAGACATGGAGACACACGTACAACAGACTGAAAACAACATCTGAAATATGAGGAAAATATACAGACAAAACCGTACGATTTCCTAAGTTCCTAGCTCAAAGAAGTGCAGGAGAGTTGTATGCTAGACAGGTTTTGTTAGCACCAAAGCAGAAAGGGTTCCAACTTCCCTTTTTTGGTCTCACATGTAACACAGATGTGATGTTATTTTAATCAGTCTGAACAGCTAAAAGCTGGATTGGGTTGCATTTTTTTTAATCCTGCTTGGAACCACATGAATAAGAAAACAAGGTATGCACCCTAATAGCTGTACTGGAATGTTCACACTGTAAAAACTTTTAGCAAAAATCTGGACATGGAAACATGAAAAAGAAGTGAACAAGCAGTTGATGATTATGCAGACAACCCACATCTTTTAGACAAGCAGGTGAAGCATTTTGACCTTAAGTAAAACTCATCTGATATCAACACCAACATCAGCGTGAAACCCCGCTGCTTAAATGTAGTAAGCCTTGCACAGAAAGTAATGGAAACAATACAAACTGTGTCCAGTGTCATCTGAAGCACCACAAAGGGACGGACAGCTGCACAATGTCAAAAGAGAACGACTCACTACACGACACAAATCTAAATTCTGCTCCCTAACCACCTGCAACCACTTGACCGCCGATTCTCCATCATTATCGTTGGCATGGTTTCAAACGATGCCAACCCATAAAACCAGCCGCAACCAGTTCAAGTCATTTAGTTGCAGTCCCACTGTAGTTTGGAGCTGGCTGGGGTCCAACCACCACGCGGGGCTAACCTTTGGAAAACACTGAGACCTCTGAAGAATGTGACCATGGTCAATGAAACAGAGAGGGAGGCAGGAAGAGGAAGAAAGCAAACAAATACATTACACAGCCCACGGGCTCTGTCAAGGCAAACTTCCCAGATGCTAAATGGGCTAAAATGACTGGCTTTTGGCTGCTAGGGGATTATTTCTTGTACTGTGACAAACAGTTTGTGTAAAAAAACAAAACAAAAAAAAACAACCTGTCACTGGTGAAAGCACGGCAGGATGCCTCAGACACCAAATTCCTCCAAGGTGTAATTTCTGCATTAACAGAAAGAAGAGAGAGGTGCTGGGGTGAACTCTGTTGCTGCCTGACATCACATCTGTATTACTCAAGTCATAATTTTAGCAAAAACTATGACATGCAGTTTGAGGAACATATCAGAAATGTTCAGATCCTCATTCAAAATCAAATCTGCTTGACTCTATGTATTAATTTAATCATTTGGCAGAGTAAATGAAGTGATAAATGTAGTTACAGATAAATTAAAGATTCACTAATCAATATTTTACATAAATAAGAGATCAAGTGATTATGTGTAACGTGAAATGGGTCACCGATTTTGCTGAACTCACTAAGTTCATCTCTACGCAGCGTTTTAGCATCGTTTGGCTTTCGTTTTTCCGGCTCTCATTTTTTAAATTTTTTTATTCACTGTTACTGCTTTCATCACTGTAGTTTCCAGCAGCAGCAGGCAGTCGTTTTACACACACACACACACACACAAAAAAAAAAAGAGCTCAGATAAGCCCATGATCTGCCCAGCATCAAACAGCAGACAGAAAAAGTTAGCAACTAGCTGGCGAACATAGTGGAGAATTTAGCAGCTAGAGAGAGCCAGATTTTTCCCTCAGGAGTTGATGAAGACTGAAAAAGAGTAACAAGGAGAGTGAATATTCGACTGACTTTTGTGGGTTACCAGGAGCACTACTCCATGACTGCCAATGTTGCTCCATTTCAGTTGGATGTGTAGCAACTGTTTGCCAACAAATTTAGCATGTGGTGATAACATGTCAGTGTGTTTACAGCTTGTTTTCACTGACCCCAAATGGCCAGAAAATTGTTTTATAAATGTTCGGTTCATACCTCCATTCTAAATCAAACCTGACTGCATCTTACACATATAAATGAAAGTGACTGATAACTACTTGAAATTAGTTTTGGTTCAGATTATGAGGTTGCTTCTTCAGTTTCTCCTTCAATTCAAAAAACTTAAATGTTAGTAAACTGACAAAAAAAGGTAGCAACGTAATGTCATAATATGTGTAAAAATGAACTGTGAAGCTTAATACATCTTGAAAAGCAAATGGAATACTTTGTGTTTCTGTCAAACTTTTCTATTTGTGCATGTGATTGCTATGTCAGGTATCATGACAACAAAGTTCTTTCAATTAGAACCAAGACAAAACATGGCAGCCTTACAGTGAACTGTAGACTAGGCCGAATAGCAGCTATCCAATAGTAATAAAACTAACAGGTGATACATTCACAAGAAAACATGTATGATCATGAGCAAATTTTCCCCGTTGGCAAGATCCAAAAGTTTACGTTCCCGCCGCTCCCACTGTGCCCAGATGACACAACAGGTGAAACACCAAACAACTGTCGTCAGGGTCATCAGGATGACACTACTAATATGTGCTGTGATGCAATGATGTACGCCCAAAACAACCCCAGAAGCTGCAGCAGAGACACACCCTTCCCAGACGCACACTGCCATATCCCACTTCCTGCTGCCGAAGAAAAGACAAGTTTAGCCTGAGGGATCTTGCTCTCTGAGGCCTTCACACGCCGCTCAGCTGGGAGCTTCTGTGACACAACTGTTGCTCTTTAATCCTCGCTCCACATAGTTCAGTGGGTCACACAGTCCAATACGGTCTGGTCTTTCGCTGAAGGGATGTTGTTTATTTAGTTTTTGCCTTACGTGTGTGCGTGTGTCCATTATAATAACAGAGGGACATGAGTGCAGGTGTGAGACTGCGATTAGAGTGACAATGAAAAGGCATAAACAAGGAAAGCAGAAAAACAAACAGGCTGACAGAAAATGTCCAGACCCCCCCCCACACACACACACACACACACACACACCTCACTTGTCACAGGAAGTGGTTCCTCTTTTGTCAGGGTTTTACTTTGCGGGCTTCTCTCCAGGCAGCGTGTTTGACTAAGGTGTGAAGTATTAAGGCTTGTCATACTGTCAAGCCCACGCCTGCTTTCATCTTTACACTCAGAGATTTTTACTAGACAGCAAAATTACATTACAATATAGGTCATAATTTCTGTGCAAATAATAGTATAATACCACTAATTAGGCTACACTAAACGTAATAATTATCATAATATTCATATAAATAATAATAAAGCCCCAAAATGATTTGATTACTTTTAAACTGTTGATTTTGGCAAACTCTGGTCTAAGGAAACGTCTTTTCCCCAAAGACTGTCATTTCCATTCATCATAGATTCAAACGGTTTTACTTGCCTTTTGCTAGTAATCACAAAGTTTGAAGTTAACAGATTTCTTTATGACATTCGTTCTCATTTGAAAACCTCTTTCACGATCCCTAATGCTTTAAATGACACATGGGATGTAAACTCTTTACGTTTCCAAGTCATTTCTGTCATTTCCTAATATTTGACGTCAAAAGAGTCATTTCATTGTTTCCCGGAGCCTCACCGAGGCCGAAGAGGTGAACACGTAAAAAAGTCGAGATGTGGAGCTGTTAAAAAAAGTGGAGTCCTACCAGGAGTAATGTCTGAAGTCTGGAGGCACCTTTTGCAACTTGACAGTGGTAGCCTGCCTCTCTCTCTCTCTCTCTCTCTCTCCGTCAGCAGACACTCGCTCAGATCAGGACTGGGATCAGTTTGCAGGTCGCTACTCCGGCGGCTCAGGAGCGTCGCCCGTCAGCTGTAAAACTTTTTCTGTTACTTCTGACTGTAGTCAAACCTCTGCGGCGAAGAGTGATGCAGCTTGCCGGCTACTTTTGTCCTACTACTGAGGAAGTTGCTGGTGAGTCACAAGATCCCGCCCCCCTGCCCCCCCCCCCCCCCAAAAAAAAAAAAAAACACACACACATTCCTCCCTCCCTCTCACCAGCGACTTCAAACGGGAGCAGAGAAGAGCAGTGGAGAGCAGGGCCCTGTGTCTCGGCGCTTTGCTGCCGTTTATTTCCAAGGTATTTTAAAAGAATTACGTTTTATTGGTGAATATTGGTGGACAGGCCAAGCCTGCTTTTCCTCCGCCATGATGTCTGGATTTCTGTGTTTCTTTTTGGATTTTCCATTGATGAATGAATCAATCACAGAAACAAGAAATAAGTCAATTGACCAATTAATCAACACACAACCATCTAAATGTGAATAAAAACCATAACCAAACAATGGACCACTTGCAGGTGACATATTTCACGATGCAAATACCTGAATTTCTCATTTTCACTTTTGATTCATTGCAAGTGCCTTCAAACAAACTATCTCCTCTAAATGAATTATTCCGTCCGAATTTACAGCTACATAAAAACATTGAAACTGATGTAATAATTTCACTTTTAAAATCCTGGAGTTTCACTTTTGAATCAGTAATGATGTGTCATCTCAGAGCTACTTAAAGTAAGTAAAGTGGGGTTTGGACATAATTGCTTGGATAGTCTGAATCTTTACCACCACTAAATGTCAGTAAAATGTCTACTGGGGTTTGATTAGAGAGTAGAGATTGGGTCAGGATTAGGTCAAATAGTTGTCTTTAAAATGACTTTTTAGAGGGAGCGTTTAAATATTAAAATTATATAACTGAACAGCAGACATATCAGCTTTACTAAAACACGCACAACAGTTATATCTTTCTATATTCTGTATGTACTTTGCTTTAAAGAGACCTTTGTAGACTTTGACATGGACCAACAGGGACCAATTAAATTTCACTTCCTTATTTTACAGTGTGGCTCATTTCTCCAGTTCTGATGTTTCAATTTTTGTCATGACTCACATGGAAGTGACGTTTATCTGGATGCAGCTGGCAGCTGTTTTGTCACACATGGAAGGAACCTTGCATCTGATCGCTTGAGTCATTGCTGTTATCAGTGTGTGCCCTGGGTACTTTAAACAGTATTGTTGACATAAGTACCACCCTGTCTGATAGATGGCATTGTTGTCCTGCCTCTCATGACATACGGGATTCGGGGTTGTTACCAGAATCCATCTCACCAGTCACCACGCACTTTCTGCGGTTTGTATTTTCAGCCTGATTTGCCGTATCTCAAATAGAATGACACTAGAGTTTGTCTGGTATGACATTTTGTAGGCTGATACCAAGACTGGAGTCACTCAAAGGATGTTACATAAATTCAGTGTTTCCCAAATGATTATTCATGGAGGAGTAAAAACATCCGTAAGACCAATTTTATCATGCCACACTTAAAGAAATAGTTTGACATTTTTGGAACCATGTCAGAAACAGCTAGCATGGCGTTGTCAAACAGTAGGAAAATCTGTGTACAAGCACTTCTAAAGCTAATTAACGTTTTATATCTCATTTGTTTAATCTAGTGCACAAAAACTTAAGTGTAAAAGCATCAATTCCCCTTTTTATTGGGGTAATAAGTGCATTTCCCAAATGTCAGACTATTTCTTTAAGTAACCAATCCATCATACCATCATCGTGCACATTCATAAGTCTTGCACACACTCACCCAGCTACATAGGAAATGTACAAATTAGAGATCAAGTGTCACTATTCATTTTATTTCTTGATTATTAAGATGGCTCTGATTGTAAAGAAAAGTTTTAAAAGTGAAAAGTGAGTAGGCAAATTGCTGTGCTTTTTGTCTGCATAACAATCCATAAAACACATACAGCAGATAAGAATGACGATGTCGCATTTGCAAGACATTAATATGGAAACTGAAGCAAGACTTTTTCAGGGAAGTCAGAAAAGACAAAAAATCACTATGTAATCACTTCATGGAAAATGACAGTGGTTTTCCAGCCTGTTACTGAAGAGGCTGGAAAACCTGCAGTACTACATCAACATTGTTGGATTAAACCTTTCAAGTCAAAACTTTTAGGTTTGAAGATTACTCAACCTTTGTAAATTCTCTAAAAACACTCTGTGCACACTGAAAATTAAAAGCTTTAAACACAATTATGTAAATTACTGCATATTTGATGGATTTGGCATCTGTGTTTTTTTGTTGTTGTTGTTGTTGTTGTTTTAATGTTTTAATGTTTTTTAAAAAAAAAAGGAAAAATAGCTGCAAAATGTTGCACATGAAATGATCCATTCAAAACAGACTTGTTTTAAAATAACAAACATGTGACTCTTGTCTCTCATGGTCCTGTGACAGTGTGATCTGTACTGGTCTGACCCTTCTATTCCCCCAAACCCCCTAATTGTAAATTCTAATTTTACACTCTGAGGCGTGGTCCTGTCAGACTTGCAACAAATTAGAGGACAGATGCCTGTCAATTCATCTTGGGAGGAAAGGCCTGATGACTCCCTCACTGTTTCCTTCTTTGAAGAAAAGGTTAAGGATTGCTCTTTTTTACCTTTTACATGAAACATCTCTCTGTTTTATTTTTGAAAAACAAGTTAAAGGGATAATATGGGTTAACTGAGTAATCACTTCAAAATATGATCACTTCTAATGCTTGAAATGAAATGAAAAAAATTTACTGTCCAAATGGAAACTCTATGAGTCTAATATGGAAACGCTATTAAAAACTTAGCTTTATTGAAGATATTTTCAACCCTAGGTGAAGAATACAGTACAATGCAGTTTGAAACACACTTTACTTTTTTATGCAGCATGTGAAAATTGATGATGATGTGTCAAGTGACTGTCATGCTCTGCTAAATGAAATTTGAATTAGTGTTACGCTGTAAATCTTCAACTCTTTTTTTGGATGTGTGGTCTTAGAACACCTGAGGTAAATTAACTCTAATGAGCATTATTGCCCTTAACAGCAAACTAATGAAGCAATTATGTAGTTAAAAGTCCCACTTAAGTGACGCAGACCGGTGACAAATTAAAGGAAAAACCAACATAAAGTAAGTAGTAATGTGTTGGTTTCACCATGTGCTGCCAGAACAGCTTCAGTGCTCCCTGGCATTGATTCTACAAGTCTCTGAACTCTACTGGAGTGATGAGTGCAATTCTTCCATAAGATATTCCCTCATTTGGTGTTCTGATGATGGTGGTGGCGAGCGCTGTCTAACACGTCAGTCCAAAATCTCCCATAGGGTGTTCAACTGGGTTGAGATCTGGTGACTGCAAAGGCCACAGCATATGATTCACATAATTTTCATGCTCATCAAAACATTCAGTGGCCCCTCCTACCCTGTGGACGCGGGCATCATCATCCCCCTTCTCCACTCCATTTTTCAGGTTTTTCCTTTACTCTGTCATCCATCTGTATGCCTGACTTCTAACAGCAGCTTATGTGTCTATTTTCTTCTCACACGTGATGGTGAGTGGAAATTGTGGATGCTGCCTTTATGTAACAAAGCCATTATTTTCATAAAGTGGTGCACTGTACAAAACATCAAAGGGAGTGTGAGTACTGAAGATGCGTTTACACAATGTATTTGTAGCTTTCAATTTCAGTACGGACATGTGAAATCATGTGCTGGCTTTTAAAGATATGCTCAAAACAATCTATCAAAAGAGCATCAAGTGGAGGAACCTTTTGATGATATCAGTGATAATAGCTTTTTTACAGAGCACTTGAGGTATACTGTGCCTCATCTGAAACCCATCCACTTCTCACCACTTCACTGCTGTGATTGTCTAGAGTATTAAACAGGCCCTGCTACAATATACACTCTCAAATCTCAAGCAGGGAAAATAAGCAACATATTGGCACTTGCTGTAATTGCGGACATTTTTTGTTTTACAGGCCCACTATGGAAGAGAGTAGTAGAGTAGAGTGGAATATTTGGACAAGAGGCTTTGAATGGCCAATAAACAAAGTGCAAAAGGTATACAGATAATTTACTTCAGTAGCAATACCACAATGTAAAAACGCTCTATTACAAGCAAACATTCAGAGTTCAAAACTTTACATAAATAAAAGTGCAAAGTAAGTTTTTGGACTTTTCTCCTATTCTTTGAACAAGTATTACCTGCTTGGGCCAGTTATTCACATTCTGTCTGCTTTTACTGCATTTACAGTCTTTGGTGGAACAAACAACACACACATATCTGAAATGTTCTAAGAGCCCCGACTAGACACTGCTTGCAAGCCAAAAAGGTTGGGAATCCCTGGTGTAATCTTTGAAAATTCATTGTATTTTATAAGCTTATAATATATTTCTCTATGTAAATTCTTAATGTGAAAAGTAGTGAGTAACTGTAGCTGTGGAGAGAATGTAGTGAAATGTAATGAATAACAAGAATAAATCAGCAGAAAATGGAAATAGTGGTAAGGACAAATTCTTCACAATTGTATTTAAGTAAAACCCATTCGACCACTGGCAATTAGGACGTATTTAACAGGCGGACTTCTGAATCTATCTGATGTTGTTTTTATCCCTTTTATAAGTTCAGGGGATACAACTAAATAATCACACAGGAGGAACTACTGGCTCATGCATTTTTGGACTGGGCTGGCCTGGCGGCTCGCTGCAGATGAGGACCAACCATGGTCAGGGGAGACATACCAAAGCCCTGAGCTCAACCCAAGTGCAGCAGTCTTACAATATGTCAGCAGTGTTATTTTTACAGGGTCATATTAGAAAACCAAACGGCTCTGCATCTGTCCCACAAGGGCATTCCTCCATTGCTGACCCTGAACAAACCCACAACCTCTTGTCCTCCTGCTCTTGCATCAGCTTGTTACAAGCCCCTGATTTCCAAAGTAGTATTTACCCCTGCCGTGGCTCACCAGGCTTTTCACTTGTAATGATAAATACTCACATGAATTAAACAGCATGGAGCCCAATAAGTCAGAACACAGACATTTAACCCGTAAATTCTGGCTCAAGCTGCCGTCTGTGTTTGCCTAGTTAAACAAAACTTAGTGTGTTGGGTGGGTGGACCAGTCGGGCCCTGGGCTGAAACCTTCACAGGAATCGGGGTCATTAGCCATCAGACTGATAAACAAGCCTGTGACATAATGTGGAAACACTGATCCCATTCATAGGTCTCATCACCCTCAAAACATTCTGCATGCCGGGCAAATCTCACACATATAAAACAAATTCCTTGCGGTTGGAGTGGGGATAGTGAGCTGCCATGGGGGAAAAATGGCTGTTTAGTGGAATATAACTCTCTGTCCTGCTGGCTTCTTCTCACATCCGCAAAGCGTTGGGAGTCTGGGTGAGATTAGGGGACTGGTGCCATTGCAGCTTTGCCTTTGTCTCATCTCTCCCAAGCATATCATGAAGGAAGTAGATAACCTTTTTCCCTAAGAGTGGTGATCCCCCAATACTTACTATGATACGTTTTTTTCTCTCACTATGAAGAGAAAAAAATTGCACAGAAGCCTGTTATATGTGTACATATTTTTTTGCATATGGACTAAAATCATAGTCTATTAGTTCTACCTGTGTGATGCAAACAACAAAATGTTAGGGCTAGAAATATTACAGAGTTTCTGTGTCATCTCTTTTACGGTGTATTGGTCTGGACATAAATCAAAACAGGGGTCTGGAACTCGAGAGGAAACATGCAGTAAATGTCCATGTTGGAAAAACATAAACTTGTTACCAATTAGTGTTAACTGTGCACGCTGGCAAATGCAGGCCCTCATTATAATGACCAAAATAATTTGGTGCATGAACAGTGCAGCCAAAACATATTAAGTCAGCAGCACTGTGATGACCCTCACTTGCTTTAGGTCTTTCTGGTGCCAAGTCTGGCTTGTATACAGTTTGAGAATGGCCAATACCAATTGCAATGGTGTTCTACTTGATTATTGAGAATGAGTTTAGTGTGATTAATCCCATTTCCCTTCGCCAGTCATGCAATTTTGGAATATTTAAATCCAAATGAAATACTACAGGGCTTTGAACTTAAATGGCATGAGGTTATTAGATAAAAATCAATATTAAGGAAACTGGGTGATTAATTCTGATCAAATGTTTTCGTATTTCCATCCATGCAGTCATTTCTAAATGATTTGTTTACATAATACCAGTGATGGGAGAAGTATTAAGTTTCTTTGCTGTGGCACTACAACAATATTAAATACTCCATTGCATGCAAAGTTCCTGCATGCAAACTCTGAGTAGATAAAAAAAAAATGCACTTAAAAGTATTGTTATTCAACAGGATGGCTCAAGAGAGTGTTATATTATTATATATGGCATTACTGGATTAATATTACTGATACTTAAATGTGACATTTTGATGTAACTGGTTGAGGCCAAGTAAATGTAACTACCTTGTACATTGTGTTGATAATCATAATGGATAGCAATGCTTCATACTTATAAACTGACCATATATTTCATTTGTAAAATCTTAATCTTTAAAATAACTATGAACCACAGCTGTTAAATAAATGGAAAAGAGTAAAAATTATAAATGTATACTACCTGCATTTATTCTACTACTATGATTCCACGCTCTAATATTCGCTTTTATTTGATGGTATGGGGAAAGCGCAAGAGCTAGTTCCATAAAAAAAAATAAAAGATTTTTAAAATCTGTACAACTGCGCCCCCTGGTGTTTCCAACGCGCTTCTACAACCCGCACCACAAAATTCACAGTTTTTTGTTTGATCGAAAATATAACTTAATGCTTCCATTTCCCTTTAAATAACAAATTATAAATATTTCATATTAATAAAACAGTAAACCAGGTTCATTACTTGTAACACTATGATGTTTTCAGTGTGAACTGAGTTGCGAATCTGCGGGAGTGAAATGAAAAACAACAGGGGCTAAAATAAGGCAGGAAACCACGTGTCTCCTCCGCCAGGGAAGCAGCAGACCTGAAGCAGCCAGGAGGGTTCATCGTGTGGAAGCTCTTACAAACTTCTCTATATATCTGCTTTGACTGAGCGATTTTACTTTATTACGCTCGGAGACATTTTTGAAATATGTCTTCGTTCAGGAAAGCGCTGAAATCCAAACAGCGAAACCACCATGAAAGATCTCAGGTGAGCATTTCAGTGTGTTGTTAGCTAGCTGCTATGTTGTGAAGTGCCTTAGTACAGAGACTTTAAAGATGACTACAGATTGTAACCAAACAAAATAAATGTGAGGTTGTTGTGGTGTTCTTGTGACACACGCAGCAACAAATGTATTATTGTGAATGTGCATCACGTGTCTTAACTGCATCATTTTGTTTGACCAGCCTGGTTTCAGGAAACATTTGGGATTGTTGGAGAAGAAGAAGGACTACAAGCTCCGTGCAGAGTGAGTTCATTCCAGATTATGTAACATTTAATGTTATGTTTCTAGGCTTTAGATCCAAAATCATTAAACTCTTACTGTCTATCATGGTTGATGGATGAGCCTTTTAATGATCTATCTGCGTAATTGTCTTGTTATAACAGTGACTACCACAAGAAGCAAAACACCCTTGCTGCTCTGCGGAAGAAAGCTCTGGAGAAAAACCCAGATGAGTTTTACTTCAACATGATCAACTCTCAGCTACAGGTGAGATCAGCATCATGACCAGAGCGACGATATGTGCATCTTCATTCAAACATCAGAGCAGAGACAATACACACCTTTCTGTAAATTCTGTCATGGATGGATTTAATTTGAAGACCTCTGGATTTCATTTGTATACGTTGTTTTTATGGCAGGATGGCGTTCACGTAGCAAAAAAAGCCAAGGAGGAGGTGGAAGTGACAGAGGAGCAGAAAAAAGTCATGAGGACGCAGGATATCAAATATGTGGAGATGAAACGGGTCGCAGAGGCTAAGGTAAGTTTAAATCTCCTGTAATACATCAGGCATAAAGAGCCCCTTGTGTGTGACTGTCACAACTCAAGTCATTGTTAAATGTGGAATGACATAACACATTAAAATGGACTTGAATATGGCGTCAAAACTTCTTTCAAGAGCTTCGAAGCTTTCAAATGAACATTCACATGTTCACACTGCTTATTCTGCATGTACCCGTGTGTTTTATGAAAAGCCATTGTAATCTATTAAAATGTCAAGTCACCTCATTGAGTCACCTCAGTCTGTTTGGATATGATTACATTTCAGGGACATGTGCTCAATTTACAAATTATCATCACACCAATAAATATCACATCTTTCCAAATTGCTCTTGGCATGTTCAACCATTAACAAAAGAAAAAGTCTGACAAGGGTTTTAGTTCTGAATGGTCTCAGATAATTAATGAGAAATTGCAGTACAGAAAGGCGAGACTTAAGTTTGATGTAATTTAGAAACAGTGTCTCCATTACTTAGTTTGTCCACAAGAGAGCACTGGCAGGTTAATTTTTCAACTGTAAAATGTCCTGCTTAGTATGTAGCTTAGTTACAATTCTTTAAAAACAACTCAAAGAAAAGGAACTCTATCAGAATTTTTGTTTATATTTTGGATCGATATATTAAAAGATATATATATATCATATCATATATATCATTATCAAATTTCTCAAATGTCAATATCAGTGTCAGCATCAAAACTCCAGTACCTGTTATCATTTAGATACTACTACTTTTATTTGAGGTTATTTGTTTTTGAGTCCATAGTGAAAAATTGGAAATTACATGGGTTCCCTTTAATTACCGAACATCTCATTGTAAAGTTAAAGTTATTGTTTCTTTCTGTAAGCTCTGTCTGTTTATCATTTGCTTTCAGAAAATCGAGAGACTGAAAGGAGAGCTCCACCTTCTGGATGCAGACAGCAAACAAAAAAACAAGCACACATTTTATGTGGATTCCAAGAAGGAAGGTAAATATAAATGTTTGGTCGATTCATGTCCGTTGGATAGAAATATTAATTGATCTGCACAAACACTATCCTTGCCCTCATGAGCTCAGGTTGAAAAGTTTACATATTTTCTCTGTGTCTCATCAGTGGAGTCATTTGACCTGGCAAACCACCTCAACACAGCTCCTGAACTGGTGGACAGAGTGTACAACAGACCGACTCTGAAAACACTGGAGACTAAGACCATCCAGGGAGCTGTAGAGCCTCGCAGTGCGAAGGTCTGTGTTTGTGATGAACACAGTTGCAACATATTGCTTCTGTACTGACAGATGTCTGTATCGAAAAGCCCTAGGGGAAATTACTATTATCCAAAATTAGATCGTTCATGACTGAATAGTTCATTTACATTCTGGTGATTTTAAGCTTCTGTAGTTCAGTCCACTGATGTTTCATGTTTTCTCCTCTTTGTAGAAGCTGGCCAGGCAGAGAAAGCACCAGTATAAGATCCTTTCCCAAAGGATCGACAGAGAAAAGAACATGTTTGTCATCAGCCAGAAGATCCAGACACGCAAGGATCTGCAGGTGAGGAGGAGGAGATGGTCCTTAATCACAATAAGCATTTTGGTTTTCATTTCAAATGATCATCTCCATTGCTGTTGCTGTTCATTTTCATTACAGTATGAACTGTCAAATTAAGTATTAAGTTTTTTCTTTTCTTCTTTCCTCTGTGCACCAGGATAAAACTAAAAAAGTGAAGGTAAAAAAGGAGACAGCCAGTGCTGCAGCAATTTACAAGTTTGAGGCCAAGAGGAAACGCTGAGAGGGGAGTAATCATCATACTGGGAAAAATAAATCGCCAACTTTGCCAACGAAATCCTGGTGACATGATGGACTTCTTGACCATAGCACAGATTGCAGATAATTTTTCTTCTCCTCAAATATTGTTGCAGCCATGCAATTTTGTACATATTTATCTAAAACTTTTATTTTCTTTCAAATAAATAACAGATGAACGTGCACATTGATGTGATTTCTTGACTTAGAGAAAACTTGTTTCACCTCTTTCTTGGATAGTAGTTTGTGGATTTTACATTCTAGGTTTTTTTTTTTTTTTAACTGGGGAGACTTTAAAACTGGAGACAGAATAAAGGGAATAATTTGTCAATGAGCCCTCAGGCCGAATCTTAAGTTAGTATGTGGTATGAGGTACGTGCTCCGGCCAGCTGAGTTGTTGTATTTTATTCCTGGACCAGTAGGTGGCATTAATGTTCTTTATGGCACTAGCTTGAAAAAAAAATATTGGTGGCTGGAGACACTGTAACCTGCAGTACAGAGACTAAGCCAGGTTTCAAGAGTTACTTGTCTGACCCACTACTTAGACTTTAGAGTTAAAGTGTGGTAGTAACACGTTGTTTGAGCTGTCACTGATGTGTTCAGCCTTTGTGTGCATCACTAACAGGTGCCTGGTTCGTTACGTAGTGAACAGTGACGTTGGACCATTCATCCCCATTTCAAACCTGTCATAAAGGACAGAGATGCTCCACTCCAAAGCTACCACAGAAATTCATTCTTCTGATTTGATTTTGAAGACACAATTGCAGAAGGTTTTCCTCATCAATTCATAAAGTCAGGAGATATAATATGTCCATGCCACATTTATTACATCTCTACATTCATGGCGCCCGGTGACTCGTGAACCAACAAAGGCAACAGGGTAAGTTTTAAATAAGTGAAGCAAGGCATAAACTTCACTCTTCTTGTTAGCACCTATCATATGTTGTTTATCAGAGAGAAAAATGTTTACTTTATATATGGATATATATTCTATTAACTTAGTACATTGCCAGTTGTCTTTCAAGTGTCAGATTTCGGTGGTTTTCATCACTTTGTCAGTCATTTCGGAGTAACTTAATTCTGATAAACTTGACATTTTTTCGACTTGCGCATTGACAATGATCCCACAAATACACTGTTGGGGCTGAGACAACGTTCAAACAGCGGCAGAGCCTCTGAAGGACACATCTTTGTAGCTGCCCTTGACTTAGGATGCAGCACACACCTCCAGCGGACCCTTTCCACGTGTCACGGCGGGTGTACACACAGCTGCAGCTAGTAAAATTAAGTGTGATTTAGGTGTCGGTTAGCAAACACTGATAATACTATCTTCGATGTCTGCTCATTAGCTCACTTTAATCAAAATTACCGATTATTAATGTTATTAGCTGCAGCTGTGCTTACACAATGACACCTCTGTTAAAAGGCTCCCTTGAGAGACACATGTAACTGTTGTTCCAGCTATATCACTTTCTACAGTTTATTCCCATTCAGGGGGGGATTTTTTTTTTTTTTTTTTTTGGATGTGATGCTAGGTCTCACAGGTGAGCAGGTAACCATACACCATATATTTTTAGGACTTTTTCACAGCATGCATTGTGACTAGTCACAGTAGAAGAAGCACAGGTGTTATTAATGACATCAACAATGGCTCCGTTCTATTCAGGAGTCCCAGTAAGCTGTGACAGTGAGACGACAGGAACAATGCCAGGACCCTGAAGCTACATGGAATTCAGCCAACATTAATTTTACTATTTACACCTGTGTTTTTCCAACTGTGACGCGTAAAAATGTCGTCCATGAAAAAAGACTTACGAGGGCTGCCGGTGTGGCGTGGTGGAGCATGGATTAGATCTGATGCACCACCGTAAGAAGATCCCTGGTTCGTCTGTCACTAAGGCCAACTCTTCTGTTGATCTTCCTGTCATCGTCCCTGTCCTGACAATTAAAGTTGGCTGAGTCAAGACTTCTAGGACCTCTGAAGCACCATATTTCAGCTACAGAAAACAAATCTTCTGAGGAATATGTGGCCTTTTCTACTTGTTTATTTATTATATACTTGTTTATTAATTGTGCTGTCTTTCTCTCACAACCTCTATGTGGTTTTGTATGCCAATGTAGTGAGTACTAACAAACTGTATGTGTGGTTACTTCCCTGAGCTTACAGTGTGAAATAGACTGAAGGCCTGGTGCCCAGCAGCAGATCACAGTGACCCGGGCTTGATTGATCACTGTGGTGGCAGCAGCTTCATAAACAGAGCCCATCCATCAGCCTCTCCTGGGAGCAACTGGAGGGAGAGAGAGAGAGAGAGAGAGCCAGGCGGAAATGTCACCAGGCGCAGTGAGAGGTGGAGGGGCTGCAGGAGAAGGACCAGAGGCCTTGGCCCAAACACTGCTGACCAGAGCAAAGGTGAGCCAATAGCTCATGATGGGCCAAAAAACAGGGAAAGAGTGATTGTGGGTGCCCGCTTGGTTCGGTTGATCTCATTTAAAACTCAGATCTAATAGCAGTAAAAGCCTCATGTTAGTGATATAATTATTCTATCAGTGTCCTGATCAATGTTTTAAATCTAGCGAACATACAGAATGTGCATGCATGCGGGGATTTCACTGTAAGTCAGACAAGTCTGCATCACTGGTCCATCGCTGGCATTTCAGTGTTGACCATTCATGTCAGAATTGTGATGTAAGCAGCAAAAGAGTGACTAATGTCCTCTGCCAAACTCTCCCTCCCTACTTCCTTACGCCTTCCTCCTACCCTCCGTGCCCTCCGCTACTGCGTCACGCCACTGAGAGAGCGTGTCTGTATCGGGACCCTCAGGCCCAGCGTCTATAAGCGGAGGGGGTGGAGGTCGTTGAGGAGAGCCCAGGGGTCAAAACACTGTGTGCGCAGTTCCGGGACCCCTATCTGCCTGTGCAACCCAAGCATAGACGAGCCACTGTTCCTCCTCAAGCTCGCCTTTCATTCCCCCCAGCAACGGGACTCTTATGCCGGGGTGCAGTGGCAGGGCTCAGGGGTGGGCAGTGGGCGACCTTCTGATTTTAAAGATATAGACAGGCATTCCTCTATTGTCAAAAGCCTTGTAATTCATTTGACGACTCACACAGGCCATCCTGCCCCCCCCACCACCACCACCAATGCCATGCCTAAAGTTAATGACCCTGAAGGTTTGCTAACGAATAGTCTTTTTTGGAATGGGGGGTTAGAAGTGGAGTGCTATGTGGTAGTCACACAGCTGCAGGGTATGACATTAACCTCAATATATAGTAACTGTTTGAGAGTGAAAGTGCGGCCTGGTTAAGAAAGGGTACGAAAAATGGATCTTTGTTCTCCCAAGTTTAGTTATTAGATGCAGTGTGGGGGAGAAAAAAACCCAGTCGAAAAGGGGAACAATTTATAATCAGTTTCTTTGATCCAAGTGTCTATTTAATACTATCCAATACTGCACATGTTGAATAAGCGTTCATTGTTCTTAAAACAAACAGAATGAAGTGCCAGTTACAGCAACCTCGAGATGTAAGTGTGGGAGTCTCCTATTTGATACTGATATTTTGTTTGATTTATGTGGGGTAACTAATTGGTTTTATTTAAAAGGTCAGTTCAACCAAATTAAAAAAAAAAAAAATCTGATTTACTACAAGTGTTCCTGACCTACACATACATTTGGTTTTATTTGCCCAGGTTTTGAGATATCATCCGTTATTTAAGCTGCCATCGCAGTGCAATAGAAGTGAACAAAATTAACCTTTTTGTTGCTTTGTTCAAACAATGAAACTCTTCTTTCTCAAATGTGCAAGTGACTCTACAGCAGATAGAGACATACCTGTGAACCTGTTTATTGGAACTACTTTCTACTGAAGAAATATCCCCATGAAAACAGTTGACAGTGTGTTCTGCGCATTATCCAGAGTGACATGGACACTGTTGATGTAGCAGTTAAATTTTTAAAATGTAGGTGGGAGAAAAATCAGAGCCAAATATCTAAAAAATCTGAGCAAATAAAAACAAACCAAAACTAGCAAATGTTTTAGAGTCATTTAGGAGAACCAACTTATTTTTAGGCAGCTGTAGGTTATTTTATTATAGATATAGGTCACACACCACTACCGCTTCCCTGTCTGGCTTTAACCTGGCACTTGATCCTCGCAAACCACGAGTGCTGCCCCTCCACCCGCTTTACACAGGGCGAACGCAGCTCTGCCCTGCTCCAAAGCCAAGCATACAGAGCCGAGGTTAAGGATGGCTGAGGACAGTGCTAATCGATCCTCCAATTACGGAGAGCTGGAGAGCGAGAGGTGGGGAGAGGAGAGAGGTAGCCTGGGGTTTGGAGTGTTGGGAGGGTGTCTCAGAATGCGAGGGGGTAGGGGATGAGAGGTAGTCTTTATCCTCGGATCCCTCTCGCCTTTAACTTGAAGCTGGGTGTCATAGGGCTTTTGAAGTAGTGGATAGAGAGGAGGGACAGAAGAGGGGGGGGGGACTTGCGTACAGGCAGGGTCTCTCTCCATGCCAGGGGGAAGACGTCTGAAGGAAAATCTTTACAGCCTTGACAGTGCCCCTGACGTGCGTGCGTTTTTGTGCATTTGTGTCAGTATTTGGATATGTGTGTGTGTGTATCTTAGCATGTTTGTATGTGTGTGTGTGTGTGTGTGTGTGTGTGTGTGTGCGAGCGCGCGCGCGCGGATGTGTGCTTGAGTTGAACGTCTGGCTCATGCAACGAGGTGGGGATCACAGAGCCCTCTTTTTAAATTGCCGCTAATGAGCCCTGGCTGGCGAGAGGTACTCGAATTGATTAAATTTGCATGGGAGCCTAAATCATGACGGGGGCCTCATACTTGTGCCCCCCGCCTCTAGGTGCACACACACGCGCACACACACACATCCACAGCACCCTTGGCACCCCCCCCCCTCCCTTGCCTCCACATCAGACCTACAGGGGGTATCTCTGCAGGAGAGAGGGAAAGGATAGACCGGGGGAGGGTGTGTACGTGTGTGCATGTGTGTGTGGTGTTGAGCGGGGCGTGGAGCGCACCCATCTGCCCCGGTATTACTGTCAGTCCATCATTCAGGGGAATGCCAGGCGCGCGCCCCGGGGACGTGTTCATTACGCTTTAACTACCGGATCTGTCCTTGTCTCGCAGCCTCCCCGTGTCATTGTCTGCCCGAGATTGCGCGCGTGTGTGTG